ATGGCGCAGTGGGTATTCTCGTTCCCAAAGCGACTCGACGCAGCTCGAGTTCCTGAAGGGGAACGTCTCTAGGTTACGTATGTAACCATGGTTCCCCGAGGGAACGAGACGCTGCGTCTCTTTGCCATACTCCCTGCATCCCTGCAGGCGCTACTTCATCGAAGCTGGTTTGCGCTCTGCTGGATGCGCTTTTATACTTTCTGGTGCTTACGTCACCCCGCTCGTGACGTCTCGCTGCTCCATTGGACTGATTTGACACGTGCTTCAGAACGCGGTCACGCAAGGGCGTTCCCAAAGCGACTCGACGCAGCGTCTCGTTCCCTCGGGGAACCATGGTTACATACGTAACCTAGAGACGTTATATGCATATAAAAACAATATTTGTATATGCATATAATATTTCACAGTATATTAAGAATATTTTAAGCAAGTACTTTTAATAACAGGGCACACATTAGAGAGCCGCAATACACGTCTGCATAAAATAGCCCACTATGAGGCTCTTGTGTTTAGGGGAGTGAGCAAATAACAGAAAGTGATAGTAAAATAGAATGAAAGAAAGAGAAAAGAGCAGTTGAAACTGAAACACAAAGCCCACTAGAGATATACTGATGCGACCCTTAGCAGAGACATGCTGAGACATGCTTTTTCTCTGGCTGCTGTAGTGGGATTCCACAGGCAGAGACGAATGGCCAAAGTCAGTGGCAGTGCTTTGTTGCTGTGAATAACAGAAATGATTTGACAAAGACATATCAAAAACCAGATCTGGAGCACAAGAGCAGTATTGTGGGCTCATCATCCCACAGTCCTGTTTGACTGTTCCTGCATCAGACTGGAAAAGCTCTGGTTTTGTAGCATTACGTAAAAAGCCTGAAATAGAGGAAAGCATCAGCAGATATGACTAATGGCATCTGAGTGGGATAAGGGAGCTACCTGCTGTTTTCTCGGAGGGCGTCGTTGCCTTTGCGCCAGGAGATCGTGCCTCGAGGAGACATCTTAGGTTTGCATTCAATGAGAACATCGCCGCCTTCTTTGACTAAAGTGTGGCTCTTCAGCTGGGTTTGGGAGAAATCAGGAGCGACAGCTGAAACGAAAGACAAGTTTTAGATTTTATTAAGAGCATACGTCAACAGAAAGCACAGAAAAAAATAACAGCTGAAACTCTGTCTCATGCAACTATTTTTAATTACATACAAATAAAGGAATGTTTTGGGATCAAAACAAGTAAAATTGCATGTAAAGCGGCATAACAAAATTCACTTTTAGGAGATATAAACATTTAAAATGTACAGGCTTTATCTTAAAAAAATTAAATGAAACATTTGAAAAAAAAATCCGACCATAACTTTCTTTCAAAAGGAAACCTATGGAAGGTTATTTCTGCTATATATATATAAAAAAAAAAAAAACATAACAAAAAAACATGAAAAGGTAATGATGACTTTATCTCACAATTCTGACATTTTTCTTACAATTCTGAGTTTATATCTCATAATTCTGACTTTTTTCAGATATAAACTCACAATTCTGAGTCTCACATTTATTACCTTTTTTTCAGAGATATAAACTTGCAATTCTGACCTTTTGCTCGCAATACTGAGTTTAAATCTCACAATTCTGACCTTTTTCAGAGATATGAGCTCACAATTCCTTTTTTTTTTTCAGAATTGCGAGTTTATATCTTTGAAAAAAAACAACACGAACTTGATTGTTGAGTCTTTACCTCACAGACCTGTTAAGAAAAGTCTGAATAGAGCGATATAAACTCAAAATTGAAAAAAGTCAGAATTGTGATATGAAAATTGCCAATTTTTTTTTTATCTATCCCGGAAATAAGCTTCCATAGAAACCAGCACTGATTGATTGTCATGAATCAGTGTCATAGGAAAATTTAAATGGTGCTTTACAAACAATTTGATAACTATTGATGTTGCTGTGCAAATAGTATAGGCTGAAAACATCAGAGTTGTGGCATAGTGGTTTGCTTTGTGGTGCTCATCCAGCTTGAATCCGGTTTGTGATTTTTTCATTTCCCCGCTCTTATCCCCATTATTTTCCGTCCTATATCTTATTGTACTGATAAATAAAGGACACACAAAGAACCGTTGAAATATTTAACAACAATAATATTTAACAACCGAAGACCATCGTGCATCAGGCCAATTTTTCCCTTCATATTTGACCATAATTACAGGTACGCAGACACGAGGATTAAGGACTATTTAGAGCACATCCACTCTAATCACTGTACTTCAAAGGAAGACATGTGTACGCGGGTACGAATGATGTAGAAACAGAGATGGCAGAGCAGAGGCTCAGCGTATGTGGCACACTTTAATTATCATACGCTCCTTATCTCTGCTAAGAAAAACAAAGGGAAAATGTCATGTCCTTTCCTCTTTTTTTCCACGTTTCCCACTCAAATGAGTTTTTATTATGATAATTTCTCCGGCTTTACAATCTTCACACTCTGTCTTTTAAAAGGCACTTCAATTATTTTATCTGTGTGAGGGACTGACAATTATTCTCCTGTGAGTTCAGTTTTTTGGCCACTTTGGCGGTTGAATTTTAATGGCAAAACAATAAACAAAGAAAGTCGTGGTTGAATAGAATGTGGATGTAGACGGCAAGTTAACACAGCTCTGCAGTGTAATGTTACTGGCCATGACAATCGCAATCCCAATTTAATGTGCAGAAACCTTTTGTAGTAAGTCATTTGTAGGTTGACTTCCTGAGTAAATGCAAACACTGCAGAGCTTCCAAAACATTTCTGTGTGTTTGAGAAGCCCAACATGTCAGCTCCTGGCTCAAACAATAGCATGAGCTGGTGCAGGTTCAACGATTATTTTTAGTACTTTTAAGGAATATATATTTGGAAACAGAAAATGTAATTATTACACTGCCTACTGATATTTCAATAATGAATACATTAAAATAAAGCTTTGAAAATGTGTTTACACAGACTTTCGACGTTGCAGCATAAATGCAATCCAATAACTAGACAACAATACTAAAATAACAAAAACATTTAATAACATCTTAAATTTATTTTTATAAAATACCACTGATAAAATGTATAATGGGTATCTTTATTTACACTGTCATATGAACAACCAATCAGCAGCTGTTGGTAAGCTGATTGATTCACTAATTCGTTTGGAAATCATACTACACTGGTTGAGCTGTGTGTTTTTGATTCACTTAAAAAAGTACCATCTCATATGATTCACTCATTCAGGAATCAGACTACACTGGTTGAGCAATATTTATAATTCACGACTCGTAAGAGCAACTCATTCTGTAATCATGTTACACTGACTGTTTTGGTGTTGGTCATAAAATAAGTAGTGAAGGATATTCTGTTAAAGTATTTTATTTTGGTATTCTGTTTGTGACAGGAGAAGAATATCATTTGTCAAACCTGGCAACTTGGCTTAACCAATGGTGTGAGTGTGGGGCGGGACTTTTAGTTTATCTGACCAATGGTAGATGGGGGAGTTTCGAAAGCCTGTTTGGACCAATCATTAAATTTTAAGCAACAAAAATCTCCTTGACAGAAATTCGCCTCCAAATAAGAACAAAATGCCTATGTGTGCATGTCATGAACAATATTACACATCTAATTACATTATATGACTCATAAGTGGCTATTATCAGGAGCATGTAGTTGAGATAAAGAGTGTAAGCTACAGTATATTAATGCAGTCGTTATTTTGTGCTTTGCAAATTTACAAACCACACTAATATTTCAGTCAACCGCAATTAATCAGGTTTCACTTACCGATAACTCTGAGTTCAGCATTGGAGTACACTTCTCCATACTTGTTTCCAGCCACGCACTGGTACATTCCAATATCGGAGAGCGCCAGGCGAGTGATGGACAGGGCGCCATTAATGACCTGCACCCTCTCCTGTGGAAAACAGGATATCTCCGTTAAGAGTCTTTTACTGAGATTGCTAATCTGCATAAAAGCACAACGTGTCTGGGAAGGTAAATTATGTCTGGAGGTTGATGGAAACGATCATAAATCTGAGTGTTCATTACTAATGGGAGACACTGCGTTGGGAGGCTGCTCAAAAACGACGGCAATAAATCTGTATGTTTATGAGATGGAAATAAAGCCCTGGCTTGTTTACTTCTTAACAGGGGCTCAAGCCTCTGTATTCCGCGGACAAGCCGTTGGGAGGCTGGATGATGTTTGCCATTATAAACAAGCTGGGCTAATATTTTAAAGCTGACAGCTTTATACTATTTCTAATATGTGATGCAATGTAGTTTGCATGTCTTCTGATGTTAACCAAACTTATTTGATGAATATAGTGTATAAAACAACATAAAATAGGGAAAGACATCTTAAAACACCAGGACACTACAATCAAAGGTGTATATATACTGTATGTATAAATACATATATAAACCTTCAGCCTCAGTAACCTTGAGAGCATTTAGTTTCCACCTAATGTTTCCTTCCAGCAGGCATGAACAACATTTTAAAGGCTCATAAAAAGACAGGTTCATATTAAAAATTGGCATGAAAAGTGGCAGAACACTCTAGAGTGTATTCTGTCCTTTCATATCGCACATTTTGCCCTTTAACTTTATTCTTCGTATGCAAGGAATAGTTCACACAAAAACGGGAAAAAACCCCCCTGTCATCAAAGCCATTTTGACATTCAGAGCAACAGCACAATTATGAATGTGGTATTTCTTTAATATAATAGCTCAATAAACAAGTTAATATTGAGTAACTTTTTGTCTGTTTTTGTTCTACCAATGAAAACAACTCCAAATAATGAAGCCAAAGAGAAATCCACAGTTGGTCATGCCCAAACAAAACGCAGTAGTTGCGTTCCTAAATTAATCAATGTTTTTGAATAAACTGGTTGAGTGAAAGATTCAATGACTAATTCATTAAGACAGTCATGCGTTTTGTTTCTGAATGATTCAGTTTTTTGAACAAATTGCTGAGTGAAAGATTCCAGACTCATAAAGTCAATCATGTTTTTAGTTCCTGAAAGAATCTGGTTTTTGAATGAACTGGTTGAAAGAATGATTTAATGTCTAGTAAATATTTATTATGGCGGAAATTAATTTTGAAGTCAGAAGAGTTCAACAATGCCTAAAACCAATATTTGTAGAATGTGTTCATATATGTAAATGCTTTGGTTTATTTTTGTTTTTATGTCATTTTTTTTCTGTTTATCCTAATGCAGTGGTTCCCAACCCTGGTCCTGGAGGCACCCCAACACTGCACGTTTTGCATGTCTCCTTAATCAAACACACCTGATTCAGGTCATCAGCTCATTAGTAGAGACCCCAAGACAGGGGTGCCCAAACTCGGTCCTGGAGGGCCGGTGTCCTGCAGAGTTTAGCTCCAACTTGCCTCAACACACCTGCCTTTAAGTTTCTAGTATGCCTATAAGAGCTTGATTAGCTGGTTCAGGTGTGTTTAATTGGGGTTGGAGCTAAACTCTTCAGGACACCGGCCCTCCAGGACCGAGTTTGGACACCCCTGCCCCAAGACCTGAAATTGGTGTGTCAAAGAAAGGAGACATGCAAAATGTGCAGTGTTGGGGTGCCTCCAGGACCAGGGTTGGGAACCACTGCCCTAATGTACCTCCTTGTACACAACTTGGCACAACTTTCACTTTTGAAGGGAGCTCATTTTTTAAGTAATATTTTTTTTATATCCTATAACGTCAATAAAGTCTTTACTGTAGTCACGGCATATAAAACAGCAGACGGTCATCAGGATAATCTGCGCTTGAATGAGATTTGTGTCGGTGTACTTTAAAATGGAAAGGAGAAGGAAGGGACGAATGCACAATATGGGACAAATAAGCCTGCACAAAAAATCACATAGTGGCATATAGCAGTTCGGAGTGAAGCGATGCTTCACTTTACTACTGTACTAATTAACCGTGACGTTCCTCTTAAATCAGCAGTTTTGCACGTGGCGGGACCTGAGGGAGGGGACCATCTGCACGCCTGCGCTGAAATGCCGTGATTGGCAATGTCACTGCTTGAAATCCGTCAGGTCAGGACATAAAACGCAATGCATGACTACAGTTGCGGCAAATCTCATCCTGATATGAAGTGCGTGTGCACGGCTGCATGGACGTTTTCATTTCCTAAGTCTTGATTTAAATCTGTGCCTTTGAAAAGACGATAATGTCTCCTTTCGTTCAAAACACCGTACATGTTAGGCCTCATTACCAGTTCGTAGCTGTTGTAAACACTCCGTTTTATATTATGTGGTACATTTTAAATCAAACTACTACAAATATAAGCTATGTTCGGCATAAGCAGTACGAGCTGGTATCAAACAAGCACAATGATACGGGTGAACAAGATCATTGACACGTTTATTACAAGATTAGCCAAGACACGGTGTGTGCCTTACATCATATCCCTTTTTCTCAGCGACTGGAGCGTCACAGTGATTTACAAAGAAGCGTTTTTTAGCTGGTCACCTTAGCAATGCTGCGTTCCAATAAGGCAGAAAGAACATGAAAGGTCCCCCATTGATTAAGCACAGTGAAAATAACAAATGGTATAAGTCAACAACCCATGCTTTTGCTACATCAATGACCTTTAGTTATACAATTGATTAAAGCTCTGATGTTGACGGTGACATTTGGAGATTGTAATAATTCTGAACTGATTAATTCATTTAACCGGGATACATTGAAAATCAACATTTCAGAATCAAAACGTAAGCTAGGGCTATGATTCAATCAAGAGATTGTTGTGCCCTTAAGACATTAGTCTGTCATAGCACAAACCGTGTGGTATTTGTTCAATGCTCAAAGAGACGTGCTTCCAGAAAAGCGCAAGGTCTTTCAAATAATTTTTACAACCATAAATGCAAAATAAAGAGATTTCATTGCATTTAAAATTCAAGTGTACCTTTCGGCAATTACCTTGGCACACAAACATACCTGTAAAACATTGATCATTATGCAAATTTGGTATTTTAAATACAAATTCACTCAACGAACGTGGAGCCTAACCAGCAAAATCTGCATTAGCAATTATTTCCTGAGGTCCAAAGCATATAAATTAACTTTTTTTTTTGATTGTGGTGTATTCTGTTGGAACCGTTCTCTAATAAAGTGCAAAACAATAAAATGGACAGACTGCTAATTATGCAGCGCTGATAGATATTCTCATCCGGTGGTGTGAAAGATGAAAAAGAATGAGTGACAGATGAAGAAAGACAAGTGGCCATGTCTCTGAACACATAAACAGTCTCTAAATGGATCAATATCTTTTGTTTTGTTTACACCCGCATCGTATAGCAAGGCTAATTTACATGAAGCTTACTGATTTGTTTATTCACCACACCATAGTTGCGCTGAAGAGCTACTAGTCTCTAAAAATAACTTCATGCGCTTAGAGTTTGGAATTCTGGGTGAAATGCTCTCAGTGGAGACAGGTTGTATATTACATAGAGTGTCGAGACATATAAATATTTATCACCTCTTTCACTATAGTTTAAATGGATTTCAGAGAAAGACAAAACAATAAGAGCCTGTTTGGTACACAGTAAAGGTTTATAAGCCTTCTCCTAATGGCCTTCAAGGAAACTTCAAATTCTGCTGTTTTAGATTGGAGGATTTAATGGGAGATTGCTAAGTGTCTTGCATCTTGTGTCCACGGCTATGAATGACTGTATTAAATCAAGCCTTAATGTTTATTAAATGTATTTTACTTTATTTAAGGACTTTTTAAATGTCCTTCATATTCTGAGCTTGTGTTGTTTGGTGATGTTTGTAGATTGTAAACCAGTAATTATGTTTATGTAATGATGAGCAGTAATGATGATTAGAAGAGCTGTAATTAGCATGCTCCTCTCTGCACCTTATTTAAAGCCGACATGAAATCAAAACTGTCCTGTTTACTTACTTAATGCACTTTACTGGTCTTATTGTGCATAATTCATAACAGCATGTTATTCCAAAGAAAAAAATGGCTGCGTTTCATCAAAATGTCTTGTCTTGCTCCACATCAAATGACTTTTTATTTGTCCTCACAAAGGCTGCTGACGTTTTGTGCTGTCAGTGTTTCAGGAGAGGTGTAGCCCTCAAAAACTAAACCGCAAAGTCCTGAAGTGCCAATTTTCCATATTCCAATAAATTCCTGATGGATAAAAATCAAGCACTTTTTTCCACATTAAACATCCTGAAAAGTCACACAATGGAAGTAAACTGGGCTGCAAAAGTCGCATCTAAAGAATAACTTTGACAAAGTCACAAGAAAGGAAGAGGTATGAAAAGAAAATGTGTTGGTTCAATCTTTAAAATGTGTTGTTAGAGAGTATTGCTAGTGCTTTCTGCTAGCTATTGCCATCTTGAGTTTATTGCATTTTTGGGGAGCTATTCCCTCTCATCGCCAGAACAAGTGGTGGATATTTGGAAGCTTTTATGTTCTCAATTTTGTCCATTCCTATTGTTTCGATAATTCTGGAGTGGCCTGTATAGAGAGTCCGCAGAATGACATATCAGGTACTCCAGTGGATTCACTCTGATTTAGACGGTTATAGAAAAGCCATTAAGGAATACGCTCTCAAGCAGTGGTCTCACAAGGTTAATAAAGATGGCTGGCAGATCTACTGTGATGACTGCTACTAAATCAGTGATATAACCTAAAAACCAGACAATAAATAACAAGTTTCTTAACTTTCTTCAGATATAATCTTTTTTTTAATTTTTTTTTTACTAAACCTATATTTTGAAATACAATATTTAAAAGGATAATTCATGCAAAAATGCAGGTTTACCGTTTACTCCAAACCTTTATGATTTTTTTTTTCTGTAGAACAAAAAAGAGTGTGATATGTTTCAACTGTTTTTGGCCATACAATGAAGGTCAGTGGGGTCCAAAATAAACATACATGGACAAAGATCCTTTTAAGATCTATTTTTGTGTGTTCCACAGAAGAAAGCAAGTCAAATGGTGACTGAATTTGCATTTTTGGGTGAACTGTAATTTTTAATATTTTTACTTTTATTACAAAAGTCTGTGAGGTGAACTGACCTCAGTGGGCTCCAGGTTCTCTCCATTCTTCATCCACCTGTAAGAGGGTTTAGGTTTTCCTGTGGCCTTGCATTCCCACAACAGAGAGTCATCGATGGCCTTCTGCACATCCTGGGGCTTCTCAATTAGCTGGGGGGAGGCTGAAACAACCAACAACAGAGGTCATGACTACACAGAATTACTTTAACCTTGATTATTACCTGTTATGTGTCCTTCAAAGTGGACTTGCATTATTAGAGCCATGAACTGTGGGAAATGGTGTGATGTAATCACAATAATGGCACATAAGAAAACAGCAGTCAGGTCCAACTGACTCACACTTCCACTTAGATAGGTATAGAAAGGAAATCACATCTAATATATTAGTATTGTCTAAAAGCTAGTACCATAAACTACCTTAACCGATACCATTAGGGTAAATTATGGCTTAATTATAAACAAACTGTATTGATCTTTATCTTTTAAATGCATGTAACTCAAACCTAGTAAATAATTGACTAAGAGAACATTTAAAGAATGATTTATGAGCATTTTCCCTAAAAGGACACTAAAAGAGAGATAAGAATGGGTGGAATGCATACAAACAAACAAACAATAAAATATATAAACACAAGTGTAAAGTTTATCTGATGACTGTTTTCCATTGGAAATGGAAATGGGAAGTAGTGATGTTCTTCTTTTGAGTCAAATCTAATCAATGAATCATTTGTTTGCAAAAACAGTTTAAATGATTCATTCACGAGCTGAGCTTATGTGGTTCACAAGTTACTCAACAGGATGATTATCATTAAACAGCTTACAATTTAGTCTCTTTATTGCTATTAAAACCATTGTATGACTCCAGAAGATTTGGAATACATCTTAAGCAGCCTCCACTGACACTTTAACATTTGGTCCCACCAAATCATGAACATTTGGTTACAATACTGCTTTTATGGTGCTTTTGCATCATTTTGAAGCTTGAAAAGCCTCAATCCTGTAGGCACTAATTACATTGTAAAGAGTGACAACAATTCTTAAAAAAAATCTATTTGTTGTTGTTTTGAGGTTGTTTTGAGTCACATTTAAGTCACAAACTGTCAACCATCCAATAGTGCTGCCTGGATCCCTTAGTCACTGCCACTCAGTCTATCTCGCACTCACTGGAAGAGTATTGACTTTTAAACCCCACTGTTTAAATGAGAGTAAGCAGTCAGGGCCTGACTTAGCCTTGCCCACAGGGCACACAATCACTCTCAACATTTCACGCCCACAAGTCAAACTTGAGAGGAATGAGAGGTAGAGAGGTCAAAATGAGCTCTCAGCATCCTTAATACCAACTGAACGCTTATTCAGTGGCATACTGTGATTATGATAGATAGATGTTTTCTGTGTCCCTAGCAATCATAATGTACTCTATGGAAGAACATCTGTTTTTCTGTGTAGGGAAACTCTGGATGTAAGAACCATTTTGGGAAATACTACATTCAAACCATTTGTTATGTCTCTTTAAAATGTTCATATCATGAAAAACCAAACTTTCCTTACATTGTCATTTTTGCACTTGACAGACTCATTCCCCTTTCAGTATATGGCTAGGATATTCTTCCGAAATCCACCTTTTGTTTGGTTTTTGAATTTTTATGTTAGGTGAACGATTTCTTTAAATGTACAGCAGCACAATCAATTAATTTTAAGGATTAGATATGGGGTGAAAAATGGTCAAGTAAAATTAAATGACTGTTGTGATGCATAAAAACACTGACTGACATAATACGTGGGAAAAACAAATGCAAAAATTTATGAAGTGACCCCTTGAATGATTAATACACACAAAACATCTCTTTATATGTGTACCTGTTAGAGGTACACAATCTTCTTAGCCTAGCAAAGAATAGGACTAATGAAGGCAACAAAAACATTTGAGGGCAATTGCTAATCAAGCCAACGCAAGCAGAGAGAATGAAAGGCTTTGAGTGTCTCCTCCTGCTTTGCTGCTGCCAGTGGAAGTGATAAACATGAGATACACTTATTGATCGCCTCATTCCCCCGCTCTGCTGACGAATGTCTCGTAGGCCTAATTCCATGGGACTTCAAAATAAGATTACAGATTTTTATCACCTGGCTGGCAAAGGGAAAAACGTTGGGGAAAAGTATGAGACACAGAGACAGAAATAGAGGGGAAGGGAGCGAGAGATCTGAGTGGTAAGTCAAGAGGTCTGTCCGTAGGCTAATCCTGCCATTGAAGGATCCCAGAGCCGCAAACAGGATAAACGTCAACCCGTCGCTGCTTTTTTACAGGCCTGCTGTGGCTTTAAGGTGTGTTGTAAATAATTACAAATAGCTTAAAGCAGTGTTTCCCAACCGGGGTGCTTATGCGTGTGTATCCCGCTCTATGCGTGTGCGCTCCGCTCAGTCGCTCCACTCGTATACCGTTCATGCTCATCGGAACAGCAAAGTCCACTCAAAAATTGAGCCAACAGGAAACATCGATGTAGTACAGTATTGTTTCTGTCTGCAATAGCCCTACTGTGTTGTAACATGGTGTGGTATATGGGCAACTCTGGTAACGCTGCCCTCTCATTCATTGATCTGCTAACCGCTATGTTATGCTCACGTGTTCTGATAATAATAGCTTTCTAGGACTAAACATTATTTGGATAATTGGTAAAAAAATTGTTTTTTAAATATCTTAACCCTACTGTTAGACCTACCTGAAAAAACTAAAAAGCAATTTATTTAATTCGAAGGCCTGTCCTTATTTTTTATTTGTGCTTTCATTATTAATTTCTTTATTTGTTCTTATTTTATTACTATTTTTATGACTATCTCGTGCTACTGCACCAAAATTACCCCACTGTAAAATAAAAAAAACACTGAGTGAGCAAAAATTTGTGAGATAGCTAGTTATATCGGTAATTATAATGGTAATTAAATAATGTTTACATATGTATAAAAGCCTACATTAAAATCTGTCATATAAATTGGTCTCTTCATTAGAAATTAGCCTACTGATTGCCACCATTGATGGACAAAATGTTTTAATAATATAAAAAATATCTGTATGACATTATATTCTGCAGTTCTTCCCTGTTGTACCAAATATCTATACTTTTCAAATTATCATATTGAAGTTAGAAATTCAAATATTGTGACAAAATTTATTTTGTAGGGTGCCACAAGTTTGTTAACATTTCCAAAGGGTGCCGCGACTAAAAAAAGGTTGGGAAACACTGGCTTAAAGCATGGAATGAGTGATAACTGGTGGATGAATGCGGCCAAAGTCAGCTCATTTTTAGGCAAGTCAGTTCACTCGTGGCCATTTTAGCTGATATCTGATGTAGTTAATAGGCATGCAGTCCTATCGACTTGAATGGGGAAAGACCACAGTCTCAGAAACATTCAATTACATATGTCAAAGTCAAACCATCGAAACAATTTCCTTGGCTTCAAATCACACTGAAGCCTTAATTTGCAGAGTTCAATTCGACAAATTTTACACTTTGAGTCATGGTTTTTGTTTTTTAATGAAAATATCCATTACATTTTCAATCATTACAATATGCTGAAATGGTGCTCAAGTAATATTTCTCATCTCATTAATAATTTCTATCAATGTTAAAATTGTTGTGCTGTTTAACTTTTTTTTGTGTGTGGAAACAGTGATGTTTTCTTTTCAGAATTCTTTAATGAATATCAAATTCAAATTGATTGATTTGATTTATTTTTTTGCAACAATCTAAAAGTCTTTCCTGTAACTTTTTGTCAATTTTTTATGTCCTTGCTGAATCAAAGTATAAATTTCTTTAAAAACAATCTTACCGACCCCAAACTTTCAAACAGTACTGTATGTTATTTTTTTAAATGTATCAATATTAACAAAAACTGTCCATGTTCTTCTCCATCAAGCAATTGTTAGTGCATTGTTAATATCCTGCGATGCTGTATTTTCAACACTTAATTAAAATAATTTAATTATCACATTAAAATAATTTAAAAATGACCTTTTTATTATGCACATTTTGTCTTTGTTATCACTGACAAAATCAAAAATATTTTCATAAACCATTTTCATCAATGATTTTGTTGATGAGATCAATGCCAGTTTAGTGTGAGATGTTTCTCTGCATAAACCTTTGTCTTATTCAATAACCACGGGCAATCCAGTTTAACCAGACGCTAAAGGTCTGTCTCCTTCTCCTTATACTGCAGTTGACTTATACACAGGAGGAGAGGTGAGACGGGGGTGGAAACGTTTGAAGAACAGCAGAAGCGAAGCGAAAACCGAGGCGAATTATCATAAATATCAAGTCTCTCCTAAACAGAATGGAGCAAAAGCATTAGTGAAACAACCACGCCTACGACGAATCACCTCCTTGGCTGGATTACATTAGCTTTTACAATATGCCCAAGCTATTTATCTAATTAATACATTTATAAATCACCGCTACGTTGCGCATCTGGGAAGCCCATTAGGAGAACTTCCCTTTTCTAAGAACCTGTCCCCCCATATTCCACATTGTTTGGAATATAAACAATGAGACAACAGGGCTAATAAAACATTCAGCGAGCTCCTTGCAGACTATTCCTGTAAATGGGCCACTGGGCATGCGGGTACAGCATTAGAGCCAGTGCAAGATCCCATAAGGGGAGGATAAATCCCACTGCTCTCTAGCCTACAGGTACTTACTTAATAGGTAGCAGTCTTGTATGAACAATGCCACGGAGCAAACATGGCGGTGAAGGGAAAAGGTTATGAACCCTTCATTTTAATGTCCATATTTAATATGCTTCTCTTCATAAGCCTCTGAGTCACAATACACTTGCTAGAAACCCAGGCCTAGCCATTGGGGTCTCATTTTTACAATTCATGCCAATTTGCACTGGTAAACAGATGTAGACTGAAGGTGCACATGCAATTAATAGAATATAAATGGAATTTCCATGTTTTAATCTTCAATGTCTTTTTTGCAAGTTTTTTTTTTCTCTCCCACTGATTGGAAGAATTCATAGCTGTGACAGGTATATTATTTTACTATTTTACCTAACAGACTTCCATCAGGACAGAATAACTTGATTTATTATACATTACTGTTAAAAAATTTGTGGTCAGTAAGATTTATTTTTTAAGAAATTCATATTTTTTTCAGCAAGGATGTATTAACTTGATTACAAGTGACAGTAAATACATATACAGTACAATGTTACAAAAAAAATCTATTTCAAATAAATGCTGCTCTTATGAACTTTATATTCATCAAAGAATCATACAAAAAACGTATCACCGTTTCTACAAAAATGAACAAAAATTCTTATTACGCAGCACGACCATTTTCAACTGTGATAACGCTATGAAATGTTACTTGGAAACCAAATCATAGAATATTAGAATGATTTTAGAAGGCACATGTGACACTGAAGCCTGGAGTAAATGTATCAATATTAACAAAAACTGTCCATGTTCTTCTCCATCAAGCAATTGTTAGTGCATTGTTAATATCCTGCGATGCTGTATTTTCAACACTTAATTAAAATAATTTAATTATCACATTAAAATAATTTAAAAATGACCTTTTTATTATGCACATTTTGTCTTTGTTATCACTGACAAAATCAAAAATATTTTCATAAACCATTTTCATCAATGATTTTGTTGATGAGATCAATGCCAGTTTAGTGTGAGATGTTTCTCTGCATAAACCTTTGTCTTATTCAATAACCACGGGCAATCCAGTTTAACCAGACGCTAAAGGTCTGTCTCCTTCTCCTTATACTGCAGTTGACTTATACACAGGAGGAGAGGTGAGACGGGGGTGGAAACGTTTGAAGAACAGCAGAAGCGAAGCGAAAACCGAGGCGAATTATCATAAATATCAAGTCTCTCCAAAACAGAACTGGGCATGAGAGCTGAGGAGTGAAAGCATTAGTGAAACCCAACCACGCCTACGACGAATCGCCTCCTTGGCTGGATTACATTAGCTTTTACAATATGCCCAAGCTATTTATCTAATTAATACATTTATAAATCACCGCTACGTTGCGCATCTGGGAAGCCCATTAGGAGAACTTCCCTTTTCTAAGAACCTGTCCCCCCATATTCCACATTGTTTGGAATATAAACAATGAGACAACAGGGCTAATAAAACATTCAGCGAGCTCCTTGCAGACTATTCCTGTAAATGGGCCACTGGGCATGCGGGTACAGCATTAGAGCCAGTGCAAGATCCCATAAGGGGAGGATAAATCCCACTGCTCTCTAGCCTACAGGTACTTACTTAATAGGTAGCAGTCTTGTATGAACAATGCCACGGAGCAAACATGGCGGTGAAGGGAAAAGGTTATGAACCCTTCATTTTAATGTCCATATTTAATATGCTTCTCTTCATAAGCCTCTGAGTCACAATACACTTGCTAGAAACCCAGGCCTAGCCATTGGGGTCTCATTTTTACAATTCATGCCAATTTGCACTGGTAAACAGATGTAGACTGAAGGTGCACATGCAATTAATAGAATATAAATGGGATTTCCATGTTTTAATCTTCAATGTCTTTTTTGCAAGTTTTTTTTTCTCTCCCACTGATTGGAAGAATTCATAGCTGTGACAGGTATATTATTTTACTATTTTACCTAACAGACTTCCATCAGGACAGAATAACTTGATTTATTATACATTACTGTTAAAAAATTTGTGGTCAGTAAGATTTATTTTTTAAGAAATTCATATTTTTTTCAGCAAGGATGTATTAACTTGATTACAAGTGACAGTAAATACATATACAGTACAATGTTACAAAAAAAATCTATTTCAAATAAATGCTGCTCTTATGAACTTTATATTCATCAAAGAATCATACAAAAAACGTATCACCGTTTCTACAAAAATGAACAAAAATTCTTATTACGCAGCACGACCATTTTCAACTGTGATAACGCTATGAAATGTTACTTGGAAACCAAATCATAGAATATTAGAATGATTTTAGAAGGCACATGTGACACTGAAGCCTGGAGTAATGGCTGCTGAAAATTCAGCTTTTGTATCACAGGAATAAATTGTATTTTAAAATATACTGAAATAGAAAACAGCTATTTTAAATTCTAATAATATTTTAAAATATTACTGTTTTTGTTGACCAAATAAATGCAGCCTTATTAGGTACAAGAGACTTCTTTCAAAAACCTTTAAAAATCTTACTGACTCCAAACTTTTGAACAGTAAACAACATGTTAATATATATACATTAAAATATGTAAATATATAAAAATCTTGTTAAAAGTTATGGCATATTTTCCATACTATTTTTCACTAAATGAACACAAGAAGAATAGTATTTCATTTGTATTTTGTTAATACGATTTTTGAAAAATTGTTGAACCAAAAATTTGAACAGGACAACAGACAATTAAATTAAATTAAATGTTGAACTCATTCACAGAAAATATTTTATATTACTAACTCTAACACTGCTTTTGCTATGAATTGTTTTGAATGACCTTACTAGTTGCTAGGCTAGTTAGTTGTTTAGGTCCAAAGAGTCTTGAGTCCTGACGTTAATGCAAGCCTATGGCATTTATCATGCGTCAGGTGAAAACTATAAATCCTATTCCTTACAAAATAATAGCTTCTTCTAATAAGCCTTACGATTTTAAGTATCATTCATGACCATAACACAAACAAGCAATCTCCACTAAGCCTTTATTTCTGAACATCTTCAGTTGGGTCCAAAGTCTCCAAATATGCTTTAAAATCAACAACTATTTTTTGATAAAGACAAAAAAATCAGAAGTCATCACAGATCCATATGACGCTCTGCTGAGTGTTTTCCTGGCATATGTGCCCCTCCTCTAAGTATAGTAAATTTAACAGCTTTGATCTGGAGCCAAATTGGATCCCAATCACAGTGCCATCTGGTAGAACGGAACACACACATACACAAACAGAAGGTCAGGCTCAAGGTCACCCTCTCATCTTTTTAATCTGGATAAAAATATTAGAGACATCACGACCGGGTGGCTTTAATCATTTTGATGCACTGTTAAAGTTGATTTTCTGCTGGTCAGGGTTGACGACTGGAAAGGCAGAGTCCTGCATCATGTCCTTCACTTCAATGGACGTGACATGTGGCCTTCGCTGTTCAAATATTCATGCATCTCAAGATAACTTACCAAAGAAAGACAGCTTTCCCTGCACAGAGTTTCTTCCTTTGGTGTTCTCCGCCACACATTCATACGTGCCCGCGTCTTCTTGCTGGAAGTAAGGGATTTCCATCACACCGCTGGTTTTCCTTACATCCACTTTACGGGCGAATGGGACTCCGTCCACGCGATGCCAACTTATGGACGGTACTGGACTAAGTTGCAAACACAAACACAAAACGTAATTCAAAGACTGATTACGTTCTCTTTCTACTGAGGACATCTTCGTAATACTTACTTCCCCAGTGCAAAACACTCCAGGCGCACGGTTGAACCTTTGGCCACTTGAACAATCTCTGGAAACTGCACTTCAATCTTTGGCTCATATTCTCCCATAACACCTATAAAAAAGAAACACTCAATCGACAAGCAAAATCGCAACTATTTCCAAAAAAAAAAAAAAGGTATCAATTACTCCATCTGAAACTGCTATTGCAAAAGCAGCCAATCTTTTATTTTCCCTTTCATTATTATTGCATGATTTATTTTGTAGCTTCTGAAAGGCTTTTGGGATAGCAGGGAGCCCTGATATCTCCCTCTGTGTTTTTGTGAGGTGTGCTATCGGACTAGCGACTAAGCTGTCTGAGGGACTCAAAGAGATGCTTATCTGTAATGTCTAACGCTGGCCGTTTATGTCAGCGCTGCCAAATGGGAAGGTTTGAAGAGAGGCAATCATCTCCTTCTGTAGCATCCCAGGTAGAGAGACATGTACAATGGGGTTTGAAATTGTGCCTGGAGATCACACTGTGACAGTAGCCATTGAGCGGCTCACGTTGGTCATACACCACCGATAGAAACATCAGGTTTTTAGACAACATGTTTTACACCATAATTCAGACAAGGCATCGGTTGCATCTTAGTCAGGTGGACCTTAAAAATGGAAAATAAATAAATATAAAACTATAGTTTCCTTTTTGAGGTCCAACTGGTGTCTTGTTTGAATTGTGGTATATGTGTACATATACTGTACTGAATATACATTGTTTTTGAGAGACAAATATAGTAAAAACAGTAATATTGGGAGATATTATTACAATAAAACATTTTCTATTTCAATATCGTCAGTGCCCTTCAGAAATCATTCTATTATGCTGATTTGGTGATCAAAAACTTTATCAATGTTGAAAAGAGCTGTTCTGCTTAATATTTTTTGGAAACTGTGATACACTTTTTTCATATCCTTATTTACATTTCAAATTTGCACATAACATACCTGTACATACAAAATTGTCTATTTTGTATATTGTGTTTTTGCTATTTTGTACATTGTCTATTTTGTATATTTGTATCTTATTCTTTTTATTATCTGTCTGTTCTTGTCACTGTCATTATGTTGCACTGTGGAGCTTCTGTCACTAAAACAAATTCCTCATATGTGTAAACATACCTGGCAATAAAGCTCATTCTGATTCTGATTCTGATATTTTAATGAATAGAAAGTTCAATAGAACAGCATTTATTTGTAAACGTCAATTTTGTAGAATAGTGTAGAAGTCTTTATTGTTACTTTTGATTCATTTAATGAGTCACTGCTTAATAAACGTATTAATTTCTCTCTTTAAAAACTTGCTGACCCCAAACTTTTGAATGGTATATATACAAAAATGTTATATGTGACCCTGGACCACAAAACCAGTCTTAAGTCGATTCCAGATGTTCAAATAGTTGTATCTCGGCCAAATATTGTCCTATCCTAACAATCCATACATCAATGCAAAGCTTATTTATTCAGCTTCCAGGTGATGTATAAATTAAAAGTAATGTACCCTTATGACTGGTTTTGTGGTCCATTTAAATGCACTTTAAAATTTTGGAAAAAAGGGCATAAATATGATTGAGGGAAGTTTTGACTACAAAAACCTAAAAAATGAAACTTTTACTAATATATTTATCACATATCCTGGAGAAGAAAAAAAAGAATAAACACTGAACTAACTAAAGCAATACATTTGTCAGCAGTTAATTAACGCCTATTGTGAAAATGTATTCCTTAAAATTCTCAAATATGTTTTTTTAATGACACCAATTAAAGCTACTTTTTAGATAATCATGTAAAAATGAATATAAAGTCTAGGTGGAGGAAAGACAAAAATAATGAACTATTAAAATAAATAAGAATATTATTAGGATTATTGCTTAATTAAAGACAATTATGTATGTCTATCATACCGTAATTCACTCTTTAAAACTAGAATGGTTGTTTATTTACAAAAACAAAAAATACTTTTTTCTTTAAAATCAATCACCGAAAAACCTGGCACACAAAACCAGTCTTAAGTTGATTCCAGATGTTCAAATAGTTGTATCTCGGCCAAATATTGTCCTATCCTAACAATCCATACATCAATGCAAAGCTTATTTATTCAGCTTCCAGGTGATGTATAAATCTCAAATTAAAAGTAATGTACCCTTATGACTGGTTTTGTGGTCCATTTAAATGTACTTTAAAATTTTGGAAAAAAGGGCATAAATATGATTGAGGGAAGTTTTGACTACAAAAACCTAAAAAATGAAACTTTTACTAATATATTTATCACATATCCTGGAGAAGAAAAAAAAGAATAAACACTGAACTAACTAAAGCAATACATTTGTCAGCAGTTAATTAACGCCTATTGTGAAAATGTATTCCTTAAAATTCTCAAATATGTTTTTTTAATGACACCAATTAAAGCTACTTTTTAGATAATCATGTAAAAATGAATATAAAGTCTAGGTGGAGGAAAGACAAAAATAATGAACTATTAAAATAAATAAGAATATTATTAGGATTATTGCTTAATTAAAGACAATTATGTATGTCTATCATACCGTAATTCACTCTTTAAAACTAGAATGGTTGTTTATTTACAAAAACAAAAAATACTTTTTTCTTTAAAATCAATCACCGAAAAACCATTACCTCTCATAGAAAATACAGAGTGGTTTGAAAGAAGTTTATTTTATGCTATCAGTCAGATAAATTAGATTCCGTTGGTCTGTTAGGATATTTGACAATTTATTTTTATCACCCTTGAACATGAGTGCGATCAAATTGTAAATCCACAGAGAAGCAACAATTAGATCAGCCTAAGACAAATGACCTTTCAGTTTGAGGGCCTTTGATAATGCCAGCCTAGAGGCACCGAAACATGCTGCCACAGCATCTTAAAATTTGCAGAGAAACAGCTTATTAACCTTTGAATAAAATTTGTATTCTTCATATATTTCACATCTTTTTATTTCTTTTAGTTACATAATTCCATAATGCATGTAAGGATTGAATGTATGGTATATATCGAGATACCGACAAGCATCCTCACCGTCATTGCGCAGTATCAGAGGAGTAGGCGGCCCTTGGACGCGTGTCTTGGTGACAGTATTGGTCACAACACAGGTGTAGTTGCCCACATCAGATGGCTCAACTTTAGCGATGTATAGATTCCCTGTCTCCTGGGACACGAATCGACGAGAATCTTGCTTCACGAATGACGGGTACTCATTAAAAATCCAGGAGAACGTCAAAGCTGTTAGAGGAAAAAGGAAAGATGGAGAAAAGACCGTCAACATCACACATGAGTAGAAAGAGGTCACTCTACTGCCCGGAAACTACATTTGCATAAACATAACTAGAGTACACGGTGACATTTCCTCTCTCAGCAGAGCCTAAATGGCATATGTGGGCTCTGCTCATGAATCTTGCGCCTCCCTAGAGTTACTAAATTAGCATTGGGGCTACATGCTAGGGTGAAAATTAATCAGGCTGAGGAGGGTTGTGTGGCTTAGGGGGTGAAAATTAATGACAGAAAGGATAACCAGTGGCCTGTGATTAGTTGGCCTCTAGTCAAGTGGGAGAGTGGTCGTATGTAACCAATGTTCAAAAATCCAGAGCGCTATTCATTGACATTGGTCAGTTAATGGATAATCAGGCGACACGTAACGAGCTAATCACATGGCATTTCATTAAAGTAGAGAGTTTTTAATGACAACAACAAAGATATCTTATCGTAAAGGTGTGGAAAGGACAACAGATGAATGGAAATGTCCTAAAATGTCCAACTATCTTAATTGGGCGAATCTCACAAAAACTGTCAAGAAATGTCCTTGTTCCGTCCAAATAATATGAAGCCTATTTTTAGGACTACTGACATTATTTTCATGACAATCCAATTCTTAGTAGCCCACTATAATGTGAACAGTACATATGATTCACATCACAGTAATATGACAAAAACTGTAAATTGTCAATTAAATTTAAAGTATAGAACAAACTTAAAATGTAAGTATAAATCACATTACTATTTATTCTAGGTCTGTTGTATTTAGTTCATTGCAATTAAAAATATTTTATTTTCAGAAATAATGATTTTCATTAAGATTTATAATTTAAGATAATTTATTTGAATTTAACTTAATTTTTTAAAAATAGTTGAGATGCTTAATTGTCCTGAAAGTAATATTAGAAACCAAATTAGGTTTAATTTTCTTTAAGAAAAATATTGTTTGTTTGTTTATATATATATATCTATTCATTCATTCATTTTTTTTGTATTTTTTTTAAATTCATTCTTATTCTAGCTCAAGCTGGAAATAGTAATGCAGTCATTTCCAGTTACGTAGTTTTCAACACACTATATCAGACAAAGAAATAAAACAGTCTCAACTCTGAGAGGAGTGCTGTTGACCAGACTTTGAAGATGTAGCATCCTCATTGGCCGTTCCTCTCCACGAAATGTCAGCATACACTTAATGTCACATCTGTCAGTGGTTGGTTCCTCTACTAGCACAGAAAAACACTTTCAAACCTGACCTCCAGGAGTTACAATTGTTTTGCCTTTTGCTGATTCAATTACCCACAATGCCTGTCATTCTCCAAGTTCCACCGTCAAGTATGAGCCACGAAAAGAGCAAGGTGAACCCAACATTTCTCTATTATCCATACAAGGAAATTTTCCTTTCAGAGGAAGCGCTTTCTGATAATAATTCAACTGCTGGCTCTTTACTTGAAATTGCTAGAATAGTACATATTTGTAATTGGAGAAAGGCTCTAAACTAAAAGGAGTACTTTTATAATGGCTTTGCATAAGTCGAAATCTAATTGCTGCTCAAAACAGCAATAAAGAAATCAGCTGTCAATCTAATAAGCATCTAACCGCATCTGTGGAAGAACAATGCACCGAAGCATTAATAAACCGATGTGCATTTCCTGTCACCAGCCGCCTCCATGTTTCTGTGGCACATACCTACATCTTATTCAACCAAACCACTCTTGAGGTTAGACATGTTGGCATGTGAGCTTTCCATTTGCGCCGTCAATGATAAATCCATTTGCAGAACGTTGTAATGTTCTACTCGGCCAAGGCTTTTGGCTCCCCAGCAGCACATTTAATCGACAGGCACATAGCATCTCCCCGGCTTAGCCCAATCAAACCCACTCACTCGTTAGCTAATTAAACAAAACAGTCTTGGAGGATTCCTGCCTGAGCCCTGGTCATTTATCACAGTTTGATCTGATCCATAGCTGAGGGCTTCAGATATCTTACGCACAGAAGGGGCTTGAGCGGATTGGTTTTCCCACCTATGAACCCTGAGCGCTAAGCTAACATCATGCAGGTAATATACAACTGTAACATAAGGAAGTATTTCTATAAAAAAAAGATGAGCAAGACTTTCAGAAATATGCAATGGTCAAGCTTAGGCACTTAAACTCTTAGTTTTAATTAAATGTTTAAGTGTTAATTAACAGGAAAATTAACAGTAAGGCAAGCAAGATGTAAACAAATCGCTAAAGTTAGCTGTAGCTCAGTGCTAGCTTACATGAGGGTGCCAACTTGAAGTTAATTTTGATATTTCTTTTTTTAAATCTTTTTTATGCTAGTGCTGTGCTTTGAAAATGTCTGATAAGTCGCTTGTGAGGAATATAATACCTGCACCCAGACATCTGGTGCTCAGGACGAGCTGAAAAACGTAATGTGATTTTGTGCTATCACACATGGCAAAACAGGATCTGCTTTCTGACTTAAATCCTGCCATTCATGCATTCAATCAATCATTCCTCACAATGCTGAATTTTTTATTAATTTCGAAGATAAACACTTCAAATGCTAACCCACTACTGCTGCAGGCGTTAAAGCTGCTTTTAAAAACAAAACAAAGCCTTGTGTTAGCAAAGAAAGGTCATATGCGGTTGCTCAAAGGCTGTTGTTGAAACCCTAACATAACCCAAAGGATTTCTTCCCTCAATTATTCAAACCCTTAGATTTATGTTTTTTGTTATGATTTGATATCAAGGTCTAAAAAGAAATCAACTTGTACATAATGCAACAAAATGAGAAAATCCAAGCAGATAAAATATAACATCAAAGCACAAAGTTTTCACATTTTCCCCCTGATATGAAACCTTTCCTGATAAAGCACTTGGCTCTCAGCTGGGCTTTTCCCCAAAAAATAAGAGATTTAAAAAAACATTATAAATGCTACATAGAATCTTCCATACAGTATGTGAAATGCTCAAACATTTTATTATCTGTGAGTCAAAAACTGGAAGTCTGATCACTCAAAAAAAATATGAATAACACCTCTCCTCAACAAACCACTTCATTTGAGGTATCATTAATGTTCATAGCACAAAGAGAGCACAGACACACAAAACATATTTTTGTTTAGGGGTTTGTTCAGATTTTTTAGCAAGCAATTCTAAATATAAATTAGCAAAACAATGACTATAAGCTGTTATTAACATATCCATGACCAAAAAAATAAAATAAAATCAATTTGTTTTGTACTTTTTCTTGCCATTAACTGGACATGATGAAGGTGACAGTATAATCTGGCTTAAAGACAAATGATCTAATGTGCTGGGGTTGCAGAAAGTCAGCAGAGAAGTCAACATAAAACGAAAAGGAAAAAAATAGACCATATAAGATTTGTGCAAATTGTACGGACATGTGGAGAGTATTAAGGAAGATGAAGGAAACAAATTTTTGCTTTCTAAGGGCAGGTCTGTTGTACAAAACTGGAGATTTTCCATGGTGGGGTTAACATCTACTGCAGGAATACATTTTTACAGCTGATGCATATATTTTTTTATATATATATATATTAAATGCCATCTGCAGATTGGTGTAAT